TGCCGACATGTTACTTCTTCTTCTACCGTCATCGTTCTTCTTCTGTTATTCGGGGGTGCGTTCGGAAATAACTTGTCAGTACATTAGCGCCACCGCCGGGTATGGATTGTTGTTCACCCTTTGTGCTGCAGCGCAGCACAGGAGGGGACAAAAGCGGTATCGGTTAAGAGTATCGGCCGGCTTTTACGAGTACGAGTATGAGTACTTGATGCTGGTTTCGGACCTGATACCGGGACACCCCTAGTTTCAATAAAGAAAAACAGCAACAGCTGATTACAAAGCTATGCTGAACCAAAATACTAAAAGCTTCCTAGAAATGTAGTGGAGTCAAACAATATTTGTCTTTGAAATGTAGTGGAGTGAAAGTCAAAAGTACCCCAAAAATAATTACTCAAGTAAAGATACTCAAAAACATACTTAAGTACAGTTCCTAGGTGAGGGATCAGACAAAGTGTAGCCCAAAGAACCCTATGATGAATACAATGGATGGATTCAGTGTTCCCTTGACCAGATGCGGGTCACCAGGGCCCCACTCTGGAGCCAGGCCTGGAGGTAGGGCCTGCAGAATCAGTGGTTACGACGTGGCTTTCATCTGAATTTGTCTCCTTGGCTGCTCTTTCAGCTAGTAGCTGTTTTTGAAGCTGTCGCACGACCGTAGTTTCGCGACCCAGTCTCACTCTAAGTAAGCATGCCATTTTAGCTAAACGTTCAGTGTTAGCTTTTGGTCTCTCTTTTCTCTCAACCTCGTCTGCAATTTGTTCTAATTGGTGATTTAGCTCATCAATACCCCACGTTTCTGCCCATTGGAAATAACCTGGAGCAGTTGGCTTTGATAAGACCTCCACCGCTTGAGACACTCCGCAAACAACATGCTGCCTGCCCTTTGACGAGGTTGCAGGGTTAGTTTGGTTAGGGGTGATATTTTGTTGCTGAGGTGTTGTGGTTGATGGATTATCAGCCATGATTAGAACTGATTGTTGGGTTTAGAGTGTTGAGTTWTAGTGTTTTTGCAATTAATGTGTCAAAACTTTTTATAGTAGTTAATTGAGAAGTTAAAAATAGCTTTTGGTTTGTTTAAATACTGTCTGCAAAAGATTTTTAATTATTAGGGAGCGTTGTTGCTTTACCTGTATAATTAAAGATATTTACAAACAACTATTTTTGAAAAAACCCAGCTAAATTATCTAAAACAATTTAACAAATAAAAGAATTGAATTAATTTACAAAATTGTTAAGTGAGACTGCAATACAGTTGTTTGCATTAAAACCTTTGTTCAATGTTCTTTTTATTTTACCTTTTGTAAAATGTTTGATTTGGTTTAAATCTATATGTTTACAGCTCTGCGGAGTTAGAACTGTATTTTGTTAAAAATCAGTATTTTGTTACTGCTTTTTAAATTGTTTCAAAGATAAGTTATTACTTTGTCTCTCTATATTTAGGTTAAATTTTACAGAGTCATCTAATTTACAAATCACTAAAGTTCAATAAGAGGATGTTCACATTTAAGCATAAACCTTTAACGACAGCTTGTCAGCAATTGTTTTTAGGATTCAGGCTTTTTTCAGAAACATCCATCCATCCATTTTCTGTACACGCTTATTCCTTTTCAGGGTCGCGTGGGTCACTGGTGCCCATATCCAGCAGTCAC